GTAAACCATAAATAATTATCTCTAACTCCAACCATCTGCATCTCCCCTTCCTCCCTATCCCTACCCGACGAGCACCTCCCGCCCTCATCATCTCTCTCTCTTTCCATCCCTCCACGACTCCACCATTCCCCCTCTCTCCAAAGTCCCAACCCCAACCCAACCCACCGCGGCCCTTCTTCTCCCCTCCCTCTCCCTCCAAGATCCACCCCTGCCCTCCCCTCCAATATATATAATTAAGAACTAGATTTTGATTTTAAGGGTTAGAGTATAGTATCATGTTCGAACGATCAGTCAATTCAAGTTCTGGACAACGTTTTCTTACTCAAGGTATGCGTTACCCTGGATTTCACTCTGGGTACCGTAGAACTCCCCATATATATACTTCAGTGCACTCACTTTTTTGGTAGCATTAGTATATTGTGAAGATATAACATAGAATCACAACTAATTAATCCATTACCCTAACCCGTTAACCTTCAATTTTGAATCCCAAACCAAAATCCCAAATTGTAAACCTAAACCCTAACCCTAAATCCTTATAATTAAAGTAAATCTAAAATAATTTTTGCACAAATTCATGTGTTTCTTGTTCATAATATCATAAGCGACAATCAATACCGTTTTGACATGAATCACATGCTCGAAATGACAATTATGAGGCGGGTGCATTGAATGCACCCAAAAAAGTGAGTGCACTGAAAACGTCACCATATATATATATAATCTTTCAAAGCGAACACACATTTTTATTTAGTATGATAAAAGCCTCCAAATAATTCAGTAATTGGGAAAGAAAAAAGTGAACACATATCGAAGAGTTGTTTTCTGACATGCTAACTGATTCATCAACGAAAAGTAAAAAACTAAACATATATTAGGGAATCAACTTGTAAATAAAAAGCTTTATCAAACCAAACTTAAACTGGGATCTCCACCTTTAGTATTCTCTTCCTTCTTGTCAACAGTAGACTCAAAAATGTTATTATCTCCAATATTGGATCCACTACCTCCACTATTAACCTTATTTATGTTTCTCCTAAAACATTTATTTTACTTATATATCACTCTCTCTCTCTACTCGGCGAGACCGAAGACATGTTGTTGATTTGGCGCATTGAATTCTCAGGCGGATTTCAGATATGGTTTTTTTCTATTGGTATTAATTTTTTCATAGTTGTATTAATTTTTTGCATTGATATTGAATATTCAAGGGTTAATACCTTAGTTTGGCCCGAACTATACATAAACTTTCTACTATGGCACGTGGTTTCGGAAATTGCTCTTCTGGCGTGAACTATGTATCATACTTCCTTATTTGGCCCGAAGGCAGGTTTGACCGTTAAATTGGACGGTCAACAGAGTTGACCGTTAGTCAATGGCCAGCTCACTTGGCCACATTAGCGAGCAGAAAATAAAATATTGATTTTTTTTTAATTTCTAAATTTTTATAAGAAAGGAAATACAAAAATTATGTTTATTATTATTATAAGAAAGGAAAAAATACATAAATTCAAAAAATAAATTTTTTTATTATCTGCTCGCTGACGTGGCCAAGTGAGCTGACCGTCCAATTTAACGGTCAAACCTGTCTTCGGGCCAAATAAGGAAGTATGGTACATAGTTCAGGCCAGAAGAGCAATTTTCGAAACCACAGGCCAAAGTAGAAGTTTGTGTATAATTCCGGCCAAATTAAGGTATTAACCCAATATTCAATAATGGTATTTTTTGCATTGTTATTATCTTATTGGTATTGATTTTCATGCATTGGTACTGTTAAATCTGCAATGGTAGTTGTTAATAAGTGGTGGTGGTAGTGTTTCGTGTAGGCTGCAGTGGTAGTTGTTAAGGTTTTGGTATTGGTTTCTTGTTTTTTTCTTCAACAATGATATTGTTTTTTTGTAAAATGGTATAGATTTATATTGGTAGATTGTTTATATTGGTAGTTTTCGTGTAATGGTATAGATTTACTTCTGCAATGGTATTGATGTTTTTCAAAGTGGTAGTGGTTGTCTAATGGATTGGTAGTGATTTCGTATTTTTTTTTTGTTTTTTTTTTTTGTTTTTTTTTTTTTGCAGATAGATTGAGAAAAATAAGGAAGGGGATCTGGCTGGAGATTACGAAAGTGAGAGAAAGAAAAAGAATTGTAATTAATAGATTTTTGTAACTACCTAAAATGAAATTTATTAAAAAATTAATTAATACAATTTATTTTTCCATACCCAATTTCCCTTAGTAACCATGGTAGTAATCACCGTAACTTGTCCCGTCATATCTACCCAAACATGTATGGAGGTGGTTTAGATAAATTTGACAATTGACACATCCATGTAAGGGTTTACATGGATGCGGATGGTTCAGATTTAGTCATTTTAATCATTTAACCCATATACTTCGATTTTGAAAATATTAAATCCAAACCCATCAAAAAAATTAGAACCTACGATTTGTTTATGACTGGGTTTTGTTCAACTAGACTATACACTTTACTTAAGTAATAACTCAACCCAACACAAAATATATGTTATACTTCTATAATAATACACAAGTAAAAAACAACTTGACCTGTAGCTTGTTTTAAATCTACATCTAATTTTTAGTTTATGTATTAGATTAGTGAGCCCAAGAGAGAACAATATGACAAAATATTCGAACTTCCTTACCAATATGCTTGTACACAAGGAAAATATGTTTTGGTTACAAATATTAAGGGCAACAATTATGATACGGGTTGGACCAGGTATATATGGATTGCCTAACCAAATACTACCAATAGAGACGGGTTCCACAAAAGAAAACACTCACTCAAACTTAAACCTTAATTTTAGCAATGAATATGGATGGTTTGGATTAGACTAGATGATTGGATTGGTTTACGATTCATTTTGTACACCTGGACAATCCTATAATATTTTTATAAGAGTGATATATGTTAAGTTCTTTTATAATTAGGTACTATTAAAGAAATTCGAGTCTGAAAGCTTCAGATTCAAAACTAATGATTTTACCACTACACTAACCCCGGGCTAAGATCAGGTGACTAAGGGGGGAGGGGTCCCTTAGTCATATGACTAAGCCAATCTCAGCCATTGAACCTCATTAAAATTTAATGGTTTAGATTTATATAGTTTAGTGAAGGGTATGATGGTAATTACATAATTTATTTATCAAATAAAGCAATAATTTTACAGCCCAACTCCTTCGCCCCGTCGCCGGTCCTTGGTGGAGGTGGGATTTTGATTTTGTGTCCCAATCTAAGTTTTGTGTCTCGCCGAGAGCGAGAGAGAGAGAGTGTTTCCCGGCGGCAAATTTCCCGGCGGCGGGGGAGATGATTTTCCGGTGATAACGTCTGTTTTATTATGTTCGTCGGATGATTTTGTATTGTTTGTAAGTATGTTTTGTGATTTTGTATCAATTAGGTTTGTATCATTTATCATTGTAGTTTGTCAGTTTTATCTATTATGCTTTTAATGGTCATATGACTAATTTGTACATATTGTAATTTGTAATGTTTGTTTTTCTAGTTTGTATACTTTGTATTCTTTGATTTGTAACACAAGTTTACTGTTTTGTATTATAAGTAGTGGCATTTTGGGACCGGTTAGTATAACAACACCCTTTGTGTTGTTATTGTAACAACACTAGTCTCCAACCAATAGGAAGCTAGGATTGTGATGACTTTTTATTATATGAGTTGACCTAGTGTAAAATCAAAACAGGGGTATAATTGTCATTATGAAAAATCTGTTTAAATAATAAAAAAATAAAAATAAAAAAAAATATTTTTTTTATTTTCTGCCCAAAAATTTGGTCGTCGGAATTCAGTCACCGGTCGCCTGAATCTGGTCGCCGGTCACCGAAATATGCTTTTTTGTCGCCGGAATATGCTATTTTGTCATCGGAATATGCTCACCGTCGCCGGAATATGCTTACCGGCGTCGGAATATGCTTACTGGCATCGGAATCTAGTCATCGGGGCTAGAATATGCTTATCGGCGCCGGAATCCGGTCACTGACGGTCATCGAAGTTTGGTCAACGGCCAACGACCACCGGATGTTATGGTCTGCATTGTGAGATTTATGGTGTGGTTTCTCATATTTTTGTATGCCTTTTGTGGTTTGCTTTATCGTGTTTGTGGTTTGCACTAAGAAGTTTCTGGTTTGCTTTATCGTGTTTGTGGTTTGGATTGAGAAGTTTTTGGTTTGCTTTCAAAAACTTTGTGGTTTGCATTGAGGGGTTTCTGGTTTGTTTTAATATATTTGTGGTTTGCATTAGGACGTTTATGGTTTGCTTTTGTGTGGTTTGATTACTGTGTTTGTGGTTTGCATTAGGAGGTTTCTGGTGTGCTTCGCAAATATTGTGGTTTGCTTTGTGAGGTTTGTGGTTTGTTTTAGGAGATTTGTGGTATGCATTCGGAGGTTTCTGGTTTGCTTTATTGTGTTTCTGGTTTGCACTAAGAAGTTTATGGTGTGCTTTCGAAAATTTTATGGTTTGAATTGTGGGGTTTCTGGTTTGTTTTAATATATTTGTGGTCTGCATTAGGAGGTTTGTGGTTTGTTTTACCGTGTTTGTGGTTTGCATTATGAAGTTTCTGGTGTGCTTTCGGAATATTTGTGGTATGCTTTGTGGGGTTTTTGGTTTGTTTTAGGGGATTTGTGGTATGGATTGGGAGGTTTCTGGTACGCTTTTTGTGGATTGTTTTACCGTGTTTGTGGTCTGCATTAAGAGGTTTTTGTTGTGTTTTAGAAATAGTTGTGGTTTGCTTTATGAGTTTCTCGATCCGCATTAGGAGGTTTCTAATATGTTTTTTTGGTTTGGTTTATCGTCATTGTCATATGTATTAGTAGGTTTCTAATATTACATACATTAATTGTTGATACATAAGGAAAAATGCAGAAGAAAGGAAGTAGCAGCATAGTTGGTGTCTTTCAGATTACTACTTTGGCCATTAATCTCAGGTTAAGCTAGTTCTGCCTAGAATTGAGCTTGCCATTGTTGTCTACTCGTTTTACCTTTCTATTGTATGTATCTGTAATTGCATGCGTGTGGATCACATGACCCTTTTGGTGTTCAGTGTTAAGAGCATAAATTTCAGTTGCTTGTCAAAACCCAGTTCCTTTAACATGGTTCTACTTCCTTTCTTCTACATTTTTTCCTTATGTATCCGCAAAGATCATTCCTTTTTCTCTTGTTTTCGATCTGGTGAATTTCGCCTCTAATGGGATATAGACATATAGTTTTATTGAGTCTTTAAGATTACTACTTTGGCCAAGTACTCTCTGGTGTAGTTATGAGAAGCAGGAAAATGAGGCCCGCAAAACAGAACCCGAGTCACTTGGCTTTTCTCACTTTCGCCGAGCATTTTGCTCTCCTCCTTCGGCAGCGTATCTGAAACCATGATCGAAGAACATAGATTAACGAAGGCCTCATTTCAGGGGGAAAATCAAACGAGAAAATCGCTAGCTATGCATCAGTTCAATCGATAACTAAAGAGAAGATTCGAACGGGAAGAGGGGGGAACCGACCTGAGAAGTTACGGAGGAGGAATCGGCGGCGGGAAGAGGCGGCGGCGGCGGCGACGGTTCGGGTTGAATTGAGGAAGGCTCTTCGGAGATGCTGGCAGTACATATGGATTTTGTACCGGCGTTTGGCGATTGAGACGGAAGAGACCACAAACGCCGTGATTTCCTCGCCAAACAAGTCCTCTGTTTCTCTCTCCTCTCCCGCCTGTTCACTTCCGTCGGCGCTTGTACCAGCCATCTCTCTCGACGGAAGCATAGTTGTGGCAGATTTTAAATTTTTTTTTTTTTTGTTTCTGATCACAGCTAGAGCATCCATCGATAGAGAAACAATAGAAGGGAAACGCCAGCGATGGAGAACAACCGTCGACCAGATTCCACTTCCTTGACCATTCAGATCTGGCGATTTCATGCCCCCGCGCGCCGAAGAAGGAACACCGGGTGCTTTTCGGTGCGCCACCTGCGACTGCCACCGCAGCTTCCACCCCCAGGAGATCGATGCTCCACGAGCTCCGCCGTCGCTATTACTCTTTAATCCACCTCCGCGCGACGATGAAATTCTGCAAAAAAAAGAAAAAGAGAGAAGTCGCGGGAATGGGAAGGGCCGAAGGGGGAGTGATTTTTTATTAATTGTTATTTTGGAATTTTTAATGTAATTTACCATTTTGTCCTGTTGGTACCGTAACAACACAAGCAGTGTTGTTATGCTATCTCCGGCATTTTGTACTGTTAGTATGTTTTGTAATTTTTGTCGGTTTAGTTTGTATTGTTTGTATAGTTCGTATGTTTCGTATTGTTTGTAAATCTGTTTGTACGTTTTGTCGCTCTAGTTTGTATTGTATGTATGTTTTTTTTTTTGGTGAATGGGTGAGGAATTTATTAAACCAATACAATATGTACAATTGTTCATTTACATATGCTTCTACCTATCTTAACTCCAACATCGGAACTTCAACAGTAATCAATGAGCAAACAAACTAAATGATTATATGTCCTGAGTCGACCTTTTATACCACAATTCTCGACCTTGTGCAGCCTCTGCAAACTGCAGATCACCACACTACTTGGCTTGCATCACCCCCTGCATCTTGGCTACCAAACCGTGTACTGACAGCGCTTTATTCCCATAAATCCTCCTACATCGCTCCCTCCAAACTCCACTCAACATCAAACACCACAGAATCCTCCCTACTCTGCACTAGCCCAACTCCTGAACTGCTTCTCTTACTGCCTGGAATAGGTCAGGTTGCCGTGGGAATTGCCAGTTGGCTGGGAAGAGAAATCCTCCAGATTTCGTGCACATGAGAAAAAAATATGCTCCCTTCATTCTGCAGATGATCAACAGAGGGGACACACAGTATGCACTTCAGGGTGCCATTTCACCACTTTATCCAAAGTATTAATTCTTCCTATAAGAATCAACTATGTGAGCAATGAGTTTTTGGGAACTCCCTTCTTCCATACTAGTTTCGACCTTCTACAACTTTCTTCCTAGGCCTTAGACTTTGCCATACCATGCTTATATTGAATTTAATCATCAGAGCACCCTCCCATTCTACTCCCCTGTTTGCCAGAATCATTTTTCCTACAAAAAGAACTCGCAACTTCAAGATCTTGTTCCATATCCACGATCCACCTGTCTGTATTTCCCATATACTAACATTACGAAGCCTGTACTCCTTCAACCATGCTATCCAGAGAGTTTTTGTGATCTGAAATGATACTTCAGAAATGCTTTGCGAGACAAGCTCTATTCCATGAGTAGAGATCTTTGAACCCCAAACCTCCCTCATTTCGAGGGAGAGCAACCATTTTCCAGGAGACCTTAGCTCGTTTCTTCTTCTCCATATCACCCCAAGGAAACTGGGAACAAAGTTTCTCGATCTCTTATATTACCTTTTTTGGAAGAAGGATAACATTCATCCAGAACTGCGTCATACTAGCCAGCACAACAGTCACTAATTCCAGCTTCCCTACATAAGAGAGAAGTTTCGGTTGCCACCCCTGGATCTGGTTTGTGATTCTTTTTATCAGAGCCTTGCAATCTTATGAAGTGAGTTTTCCTGCTGTAAGGGGTAAACCAAGATATCTGACAGGTAGAGCACCCTCGTGGAAACCTGAATGGCTTACCAATTCTGCCATGAGTTCAGCTAAGACCCCCTGCACTGTATATCTCGCTCTTACTAGGATTGCATTTCAGTCCTGAAAAGTAGTAAAATTTATGCAACACTTCAGCCACTACTGTCACTCCCTCTATTGCTCCCTTAGGGAATATTAGGAGGTCATCAGGAAAACACAAATGGGTTAGGCCAACTCTTCCACACTTGGGATGGTAAGGAAGGACACCCCTAGCTGCTGACCTATTCAACATACAACTAAGAACTTTCATGCATACAGCAAACAGATACGGGGACAGGGACAGCCCTGCCTTAATCTCTTTCTTGGTTTGAAATTCCCCATCAAACCACCATTCATACATACAGTGAAATTAGCTGAATCTAGACAACCTTGTATCCATTTGACAAATCTATCAGGAAACCCCATTGCCAGTAAAGTACAAGTAAGAAAGTCCCAATCGACACTGTCAAATGCCTTCGTAATGTCTATTTTAAGGGAACATCTAACTGAAATATTCTTCCTACGATACCACTTCACCAGCTCATTAGCAAGTACAATATTATCGGTTATCTGTCTTCCTTTGATGAAGCTGACTGACTAGGGCTTATTACCAGGGGCAAAACTTGTTTAATTTGGTTAGCTATCAATTTGGAGATGCATTTGTAAACAAAATTGCAGCACGATATTGGGCGAAAGTATTTCATTGAGTCAGCATTAGGTATCTTAGGGATAATGGATAGAATAGTGCAGTTTACCTCTCTCCTCAATTTGCCAGTATGGAAATAATCTTTGATGGCCTTAGTAACTACTTCCCCTATCAGTGTCCAATTGTCATGAAAGAATTCAACTGTATAACCGTCTGGCCCTAGAGCTTTACCCTTCTTCATGCCCATAACAATTGTCCTTACTTCCTCTTCTGTAACCATTGCACATAACCCTGAGTTGTCTCCCTCTAAATGGGATTGTAGAAGTTGTTTTAGAATGTCCACTGTGACCCGTTTTAAGGAGTGGTCCGAAGTCCCCAAAAGTTTTTGATAAAACTGTACTGCCTCTCCACCCATGTCTTCTACATCTTCTAGGATCCTGCCATCCTCAGTTACTAGCTGCTTAATGGAGTTCCTTGCCTGCCTTGTCTTGATCATGCTATGAAAAAATGAAGAGTTTAAATCTCCACAGTTGACCCATTGCTGCCTTGACTTCTGCCGAGTAAAATCTTCCTTTGCTCTCTGGAGCTCAAGAAGCTGGACCATGCACCTCTTTTCTGCCTGGAAGGCAGAAGAGGCAGGACGCTCCAACACTTCACGTCGAGCTAGAGACAACTCAGCCTTTGCCTTCTTCACTCTTTCATGGATGTTGGAATAGTGTTCTTTATTTAAGGTTTTCCATCTAACCTTAATTTGTCTTAGTCTATGGTACAATTGAGCCATTGGTGATCCTTCTACAGGACAAAGCTATCCTTCCTTTACAAGTCGATCATACTCCGGATGGTATTTCCAGAAGGTAAAGTACTTGAAAGGACAACAAAGAGTTTTTGTCTTAGAGTCTGTAGAGAGTAAGAGACCATAGTGATCTGACAAACCAGGTAGGAGAGCCTTCACTGAACTCCTAGGGTAACACTCTATCCATTTTTCTGTTACTAGAGCACGATCAAGCCTTTGCGCAATTGGATTTTCTGATTGCTTATTTGACCAAATGAACCATGGCCCTTGAGCCTTGTGATCCAGTAACTGCATATCACTAATCCATGAGGCAAATTGTTGTGCACTCTCTCCAAGGCCACCTGAGTTGGAAGACTCGGTGTGATCTACAACGGCATTGAAGTCACCCAGTGCCACCCATGGAATTGACAAATTCACTTTCAACTTTAGTTCTTGATACAACTGCTACCTTTCTGACACCTCATTTGACCCATAGACAAATGTGAATTGAGTAGGGATTGCCCCTAGGAATAAACCATGAATATAGAAACCATTACTATCCAAGACTGTAAACTTCAGCTCCTGTTTCCATAAAACCCAGATTCTACCAACCCGGACAGAAGAATAAGTGTCCTTGTACTTCCAGCCTGGATACTTACTTTCTATAATCTTTTTCACCTTATTTCATAAACTCGGGTCTCTAGTATAGCTACCATATCCACCGTATACAGTCTAATAACTTCAACTATACTATCTTGTTTATCATAGTTGTTAAAGCCCCGCATATTCCATATGAGAACATTCATCATTTATTGGAATATTTGGCCTTCGGTGGCCGACCAGGTTTACCCTTACCTTTCTTCTGCAGGTTCTTTCCCAAGTTTCGGGAAGTGAGAAAGGTCTTTCAGCGGAGAAACCATAATTCCTCCTACCTCAAACTGATCCAGGGACTCAAGCACTCTAAACGGGTTATCAATCAAATTCCCAGTAGAACTAGAACCCGCAACGGCTAGTTGGAATTCTTGTTCTAATGGGAGACATCCCTGCCAATTTCTAGAAACATTACCAACTGAGAGAGAAGAAACAAGATTCCCTATAACATGTTCAAGAGGAAGATCAAGAAGACGTGCCCACATAGGAATCGTAGAACGCGACTGCTCTACCCTGATCCCTGGTTCCCATTTCCACAAGTAGCACATATCATTCTTCAAATGCCATGGCCCGCTCGAGAAAACCCAATGAGCAGTTTCTGCAGTAGGAAATTGGAACATAAGCAGTCTATCACCCAGCCAAGAAACTCTAATCTGGCCTTTCTTTCCCCACAATCAATTCGCCCAAGCCTGAACCTGGCTGTTACACCCCGATCTTTCTATGGGTTAAAATGACTATTTTACCCTTAGATGAATTCATCAAGTTTCGTCGTAATATCGAGGAGGATTAAAAATGAGAACTATTGGTTCGAACGGTGTCGAATTTCGATATAAAATGAAGAGGTTACGGATGTTTTAGATTGTAACTAGTTGCTATGGGTTGGTTTGGGCCGAGAAGGAGGAGTGGGCCTGGGTTATGAGTGGCCAGGCTGTGAAATAAGTTGGAACGGGCTTTGGCCCGAATTGAGAAGAAGAGAGAAGAGGGAAGGGGAGTGGACTGGGCCCGCGGCCCGGAGAAGAAAGGGAAGGTCGGGGCTGGCCTGCCGGCCCAAAGGGGAAGGAGGAAGAAGCAGGGCTTTGGCCCGGGAGGAAGAAAGAAAAAAAGGGGATCGGGCCTAGGGCCGCAGGCAGGGAGGAGTCGTTCTCCTCTGGGGGGCAAAAAGGTAATTTTCCAGAATTTGGTGGGGAATCCTAGGAAAGATTAAATGGAGGAATTTGGGATTGGAATCAACCAAATTTAAGGTCGTTTGATTAGTTACGTTCGTAGAAAGGAGTATTAAGTTTTGCCTAAATACTTAATAGGAGAATTTGCAAAAGGAGATGATTGAGCATAGAATCTCGGACGATGACATGGATCAACCGGCAATAAAGAGGGGTCGTATTGATCAATCAAGGTTGGCTAAT